TTCTTTCTTTCTTTCTTTCTTTCTTTCTTTCTTTCTTTCTTTCTTTCACAGGCTTTCACTATGTAGCTCTGGCTGTTTTGAAACTCACTAAGTGGACCAGGTTGGCCTTGATCTCACAGAGATCTGCTTTCCTCTGCCTCCTGAGTACTGGGATTAAAGGTATGTAACACTATGCCCGGTTCTATCCTTGTTTTTGTCCCTTGCTTCTGGGGTAGGGCTTAGGATTATCTGGTTTAGGAAAGTTTTCATAGATTACATGGGATATATCACATCTTCGTAGATGGTATTGACACTGAAGGCCCCAGGTTGACCCAAATGACCTCACAGAGTGAAAACATTAGCAGGAGATGAATTTGGAAACGTGACCAAAGGGTCTGCGATTCATCTAAAAATCTACCCAAACTGGCGGTCTTATCCTGGAAGCTGACCATTCTCCTGAAAACTCACAGATTTCCCCTAGTTCTCAGTTTCAAGACTCAGAGCGTGACCTTCTCCTGACAGCTTGCTCACTGATCAACATATCCCGACCTGACAAACACCATTCAGACAAGTATCAGGATCTCCTGTGCAACAGGAACAACACACTTGAATTTCTTCTTCAACAAGCAATGTTAGTTTTCCTCCTGAAGAATGGGGTATAGATAAAATGTATTCCAGAAAATACAACTAATTAAGAAACTCATTAGTCTCCTTCCTTGTCTTCCCAAAGAAGCAGAGGGTGTAAAGGCTGACTGTTTTTCCTCCTAAGACTACTCAACAGGGCGTGCTGTCCTTCAAAGGCTACTTATTCATGTTACTGTTGCAATAGATATTTATTTTTTTATTTTTTTGCAAACATTCCTCCTTAGGATTATAACCTAAAGAAACAATTCAGATGGGTACAAGCGGCTGTGCCTTATCTGATAATTAATCTTGCTGTTAGTTGCCCACCTCAAGTACTGAATGCAACCACTCTGGGGCAATTCCTCAAAAAAGGAAGAATGAGAGGAACACCGAACGGTAACTCTTGTCTGGGTGTTATAGCGTGTCACAGTTTTACAACGAGTGCAGGCGGGACAGTAAGAAGGAGACTGGCCCAAGCTGCAGCGAAACCATGGATGCAAGTCAGGGGTCTTTCAACCTACCGGCGAAAAGGAAGACAATAAGGATGTCCTCTGCAACTTCAGCTTATTTAACACCTCCCCATCCCCGTGATACTCAGGTATGCACCACTGAAGTCATCTTGAACAAGAAGACACAAAAGACTTGAGACACAAAAGAGGTGCACTCCCAAATCAGGGGCCTTTAGGACAAAAATAAAACACAAAAACAAACAAACAAACAAACAAACAAAAAAAACCAAAACCAAAACCAAAGTGTCTTTGAGCTGTTGCTTCACCTATAACTGTTTCTGAAGAAGCTAGAATTTCAACACTTTCTGTGCCAGATAATACAGGCAGTCCAGTTCAGTCCCAAGCCCAGTACCCTTTTCTGGGATTCCACAACTGGGATTCTACAGGCTACATTTCCCAGTTCCCCTGGATGGCTGTTTTGCAGTGCAGAGGCATGTTTGGGAGACTGGGGGAGAGGAAGGAGACATGAAGGTCTCTGTTGTTAACTCTGGTTTCCACCACTGCCGCCACCACCACCACCACCACCACCACCACCATCATCATCATAATCATCAGGCTCAGATAGTTTGCAACTCTCAATACTCTAAGCATAAGCCTCATGGTGCCACCTTATAAATATGCTCAGTGGCCACCTCTGCAGGCCCAAGTCTGGTAACACTATCATCTCCCATTTGTTCTTCCAGTTATTATCTCCATTGTTATATTTTCTCTTCTTCCCTCCTTCTAACTGTGCATCTCTTTCCTCATAGCAAAGCACTCATTTCCATTTCTGTTTTCCTAACTGTAACCTAACTCACTTTACATATGCATTTTCCCCCCAAGCAATCAATTAAAATAAATTTCAGTGATGTTGGAAAGACCAACTATTTTCCAGGAAATGATACTATCATTTAGGAAAATGAAGATGGGAGCCAGCTTGGTGGGACACAATTATCTGGTGCCTCAGCCTAAGATAAATTTCCTTTTCGGAGTGTTTTCGAAGTGATGAGTTTATGCCATAGTTTCCTCTTTGACTCCTACAACTTTAACTTGTTCTGGAAGAGTCCAAAGCAAATGATTTGTTGAAGATCCAACTGACCTTTTTACTTGAACACAAATTCATTCAGGAGGCTGATGGTTACAGCTTCATCACAGAGCTCTTTTTGGCCCATAGGATGTATTTGTTACTCTTGGGCAGTTCTGAAAACCCCCACATGGCTGGCGCTGCTCCAGGCATGGCCTGTTGATCTGCAGAATCAGAAACTTGCCCTACTGTGTGTCTCACAATTTTTCTTTCCCCCTGGTACAGAAAGGGATCACTCCCAGATTAATTTCCCTTAAAATGGATCTGGAATCAAAGGTTATTGCTTCCATGTGATAGACTATCTGCTAATTAGATATGGTAGCTTTTATTTGTTACAGACTTACTACAGGTTAGTATGTTACATGTGTTTCTTATTACATGAGCGCTCACAAATAACCAGCATTTGACGGATGAGAAGGGTCTATCTACATGAGCAATTGCAGATGTAAGGCTCCATGGGGGATTTGTTCTTGCAGATATAAGATCTGCACAAGAATGAAAATTATTCTCAATAACAAAAAGTGACTTATTCCTCTTAAAACACTGAGTTGAATTACAGAGGGTTGAAAGAGGCTTGGTGTTAGAGAGAGAGGGAAGATAGTAAAAGCAGATCAGCTTGGGAGTTGTTCTATAAGTTGTGATAAGGAACAAACAATACATAGAGAATGCATTGGAGAATCTGTGTCTCATATGTGGCACAAAGAATACAGTTCTGGAGTGGCATAAGAGACTATCAATCATAGCCAGGTGTGGGAGCGCATACCTTCAACCCTAGCACTCAGGAGGCAGAGGCCTGTGAGTTCAAGGCCATTCTAGTCTATATAGTGAGCTCCAGATAAGCCAGAGTTACACTGTGAGACCCTATGTCAGAGACAAAAAAAAAAAGGAAAGGAAAATAGCTAGCATATCTTGTTTTTGGTATGTGTGTTTTGTTTTGTTTTTACTTCATCTTAACATTTTAATGTATGAGTGTGTGGTAATATATCTCCCTGCCATTAAGGAATTTTCTATTAATTTCACAGAGCTTTGCTATCCTGGGCTGACCTGCCCTGACCCTTGCCTGAGTATGGGCATGTGACTTACTTTGGGTTGAGCTGATAGCTACAACCCAACAAGTTGAGCAAATATGAACAGAAGTGATAGGATACAGTGCTTGCATAGTTGGGTTTATGCCCTCTCCCCTGACCTTTGCCACAGCCAGAGAGACAGGCCTATTGAAATAAGAGGGACATGTAGCCCAGTTTCCTCATTGTATACCATCTTTCATCCAGCTAGACCAACAGATGTAAGGATGGGTGTCACCAGATGAAAGGAACTTCTAGTTTAAACAGAACTCACTAGTTGATCACAAGCACTTATTTATTTTGAGACAAGATCTCACTGTGCAGTCCTGGCTGGCCTGGAACTTGCCATGTAGACCAGGCTGGCTTCGATCTCAGGGAAAGCAGCCTGGATTTGCCTCCTAAGGGCTAGGATTAAAAGCATGTACTACCACACCTATCTCAAATTGCTCACTTTTATACTCATGCACTAAATGAATGCTTGATGTTTGAAGTCACTGGGTGTTGGCATCATTGCTCTGGCAGAAGATAACTTGTAACATACATTATTTATAAATAAACAAATGCATATGTATTTTGCGGTAGTGTTCAGTTTTTTAGTTAAAAATAATATATGATCAGTTAAGTGCTTGTGGGCCAGTTACTACTTTTTTATTTTTATTTAAATTTTAATTAGCATGTGAATTATTGTCAAAATTCCACTCCTCAGATTCTTGTGTCTGTTCAGTCATGTGGGTTTAAGTGAATTTCTTCTCATAGTTCAAACCTGATCTCCGTATCATCTCATCTCCAACATGACATTTCTGCTATACCGTCAGAAAGAGATTCTACCACCCCAACTGCTCTCATCCCGCTATCCCATATGTTTTTCAACACCGATACAGAAATTATTGTATTTCTGTCTACACTAAAGTCTAAACACCATAGTGAAAATGTCCCCTCCCCCCATCATTCAATGCTAAGTGTTTAGGGGATGACCTGGCACACTGCAAATCATCAGTGAAGAAGATGGACTTTCGTGGGTTTTACAAAATATCGATCCTAATATTTACCATCCTCTCACTCTACAGCTACATTTAAGAGACAAGACACTTTGTATATCTATCATTTCATGCTGTTCTTTCCTCCTTGCTTCCTGATAATAAAATGTCTCAGGACACAGTATGCAAGATAATCAAAGTACCAAGAAGAGCGGAGTTCATAGCATCAGCTCTGAGGAACGACACAGTCCTAAAAGATTCAAGGAAGTTGCTCCTACTGTGCTCTTAGGTTTGCCCAGCGAGAAAACACAAGACAGCAATCAGTTGCATACTTCATAATAATTTGTACTGTACAAATCTAGGAATAAAATAGATAGCGGTCATTGGTATGGAGTAAGGTTGGTAAGTGGGAAAGTCAGAATATGTGGGATTTGGTTTGTAAAAATGGTGTTTGGTAAAGAGCCCTCCACCCTCACCCCTCAAACCCCTCACATGGGTTAAAAACTAAAATAGGCAAACAATTTCACAGATTAAAAAAACAAATGGTGATTTAACTTTTGTTGTAAAATTTATTTTTAAAAAGAACTGGTTTTGAATAAAATGAGTTCATTAACAAAAAGAGAAAAATCTTCAGTACAGGAAATTAAGTGATCAATGGACCTTAACATCAGAAATATTTGTAAAGGTAAAAACTCATTTTAAGATAAAAATTAATAGGTGTAATAAAATATTTATATTAGTATACTTAATGTAACATAAATATTGTGGATTAAAAGTAATTGAAAGTCCCATAGTACTGCTGCCTATACATGATAGCCTTTTCATTCATCTTCGGATGAATGAAAATTTGACTTTAAAACTTTCTATTTAATCATCAGCATATGGATTTGTTTTTTGCCTCCCTACTTTCGTCACCTCCAAAGTAAATGTCATTTGCTGGGGACAAATCATCCTCCATCTGTACACATGGTTTACCTACTATGGAGATGACCTTTCATCACTTGGAATATCAGATGGAATGATCAGAGCAGCAGCCTTTGAGGCGCATGCTCAGAAGAGCCCGCTATCACTCCGTCGATGAGGAAAGTTCAACTTACTTTAAGCTGGGAAGGGAAGGAAGACTCACTAAAGGGCAGGGAACTTTGAGTAGAACTTCCTCTTTTAGAGATGTGGGAGTAGGGATGTGAGTGATGGGATGAAATCTCACAATTGATTACCCAGCATCATGGTTAATTGCTGGAATATTGGAGGCTAGCCCCTTCTCAGTCACCCATCATGACACACTGCTCTGTCAGTAGCCTTGCGATTAGTTTATGTTGCTGTATTAAGTATCTGCTCTTTTGCTTTTTGCTTAATACCTTTCAAGGCATTGCTATCTGCTTTAAGAAGACAAACAAAGGATCTATTCATTTCTTTTTCATACCTGCAAGTTCACGCACTGACCTGAGATGAGTTGGTTAGCATCTTTCAAGGGTTCACCTAGTATACCAGAAATAGGGATTTTAAAGAAATGCTGTGGATTACTATAAAGACTCAAGTACTCAAGAACAACTAGGATATTATCAGTCACATTAGGCAGGGTGTGACAAAGACCTAAAGCTTGCAAGACACAGTGGTAGAGCAAGGAAAGGGCGTAGATGCTAGAGTAGGACAGACACATACCTTATTCCTGGATTTACCACCTCCAGCTGTGTGGACCCCAGTGCCTCTGGTTATAAAATGGGACAATTATACTCTATCCTGAAAGAACTGTAGTGCTGCTAGAAGTAGTTTCAGTTTTAGACCTATCTCTCCACTCAGCCTTAACGAGAACAAGTAGCAGTAAGGGTTTAGTTAGGCTCAACATTGCTCAGCAAAGTCTTCCTAGTAACATATCTACTGTGTCCTTCAGAAAATGAAGCTACTTCTTGTCCTTTTAAAAAGACATGGTGACAACAGCTATTTCTTTGTGATGTTTAAGTGAAGTCAGTTTTATACCATTTAGGACACTAAGTGTGCATTAAGGGGTGCTTGAACAATGAAGAGGCTTGCTGAATCTACAAAACATGATCATTTTTCACTTTTTCAAAATTCTTCCTGTCAAAAATTTCTTTTTCTCCACACTTTCACACTTTACCTTTTTTTGGGGTTGTTAATTATCTTTCTTTTCTGTCTTTCTTTCTTCCTTTCTGTCTTTCCTTTTCATTTTTTCTTTCTTTTCTTTTTTTTTTTTTTTTTTTTTTTGGAGATGGGATCTCGAGTAACCAAGCTGGCCTCTAACTCACATGCATCCTATCTGGCCAAAGCCGGCCTTGAATTTCTGATCCTCCTCTCTCCCCAGTGAAGGGATTACAGGATCCACTCAGCACCTAGGTGTTAAGGATTTTAAGATCAAATCGGGATTTGAAAAATTTTAGGACCATGTAAAATTCAGTTAGTAAACTGCAATCTTGATGTTGTTCCAGATTTATAATATCCGTTTGGGTTTTGTTGGAGGCAACCGTGTGCTGAAGAGGCCATCTATCCTTTAGCAAGATCAGGTAAGATCAAGAGATGAGCCTGCCAAGACGGATGAATAAAGACTGGGAGGGCGCGCAGGGGTTGGGTGGGGTGGTGAGAGTGGGGTGGGGTGGGGTCAGAAAGGATGCAGCAGTCCAAGCACCTTGCTACTCACCGTGGCCCACCACCAGGCTTGGAGGATGCTGGTGAAGTTGGTGCCAGGCATGTCGTGCTCCACCGAGTAGACAGCCACGGAGAAGGAGAAGATTCCCATAGTGATGAAGAGCATCAGGCAGCCCACCTGCTGGTAGCACTGGCGCAGCGTGAAGCCGAAGGCACGCAGCCCGGTGGAGTGGCGTGCCAGTTTGAGGATGCGGAAGATGCGCATGAGCCGCATGATGCGCAGCACCTGGCCCACCTTTCCCACACGGCCCACGGTCTCCAGGTCGTGTTCCCGTGGGGAGCCCTTGCCCTGCCTCTGGTCCTCGCTCGTGAAGCACTCGAGCAGCAGCTGCAGGTAGAAGGGCAGAATGGCCACCAGGTCCACCAGATTGAGGGCGCTGCGAGCGAAGCGCCGCAGGTTGGGGGTGGAGGCGAGGCGCAGCAGGAACTCCAGGGTGAAGAAAGCCACGCACAGCATCTCCATGTGCTCCAGGATGGGCCTCGGGTCCCCACCTCCCGTGCCCTCCTCCGCCTGGTGCTGCATCTCCTCCACCGTGTTGAGCGCCAGGGCCACCACGGAGATGAGCACGAAGAGGTTGGAGGCCACCCCCATGGCCTTGGCCGCCACCGAGGAAAAGGGCTTCTCCATGAGGTTCCAGAGGCGTCGGCGCTGCGGCCCGAAGAAGCGCATGTCCTGGAAGAGCTCCTCCGCCTCCTCGGCCTGCGCCTGGGCGCGCAGCTCCCGCTGGATCTTGAGCTGCTCGCTCAGCTCGTCCCTCCGCTCCTCGAAGCAGATGCGACAGCAGCGCGGTGTGTACTTCAGCCTCACTCCCCAGTAGCCCAGCTCCTCCAGGTAGCAGCGCGGGCACAGCTCGTCTCGCACCAGCAACACCCCCGACGTGTAGAAGTTGTAGATGAGCTGGAAGACCACGGGGTCGCGGTCGAAGAAGTACTCGTCCGTCTGCGCCTCGTAGTCGTCACACAGGCCCAGCTGGCGGCTGCGGCTGGTGGAGGTGGCCAGGCGGCCCAGGCGAGTTTTGGGGTAGTTGGCCAGCTCGCAGTATTCCAGCTGATAGCTGTGGCCTCCTACGTTCACCTTCAGCGTGGACAGCTGGACTGGAGTGTCGGTATGCACGTCCGGAGGGGCTGTGGGGCACTCGGGAGGCTCGTTCTCCTCCGCGAGCTCATCCTGCCACTCCTCCGCCTCCTCCTCGCCGTCCTCGTCATCCTCAATGTAGTAATTGTAGTTGCCCACGGTCCACTGTGGTATGATGCTGGCCTGAGAGCCGGTGCGGCCTCCCAGGGAGCAGATGCTCCTGCGCTGCTGGTTGCTCCTGGCGTTGGGCCCCTCGTCCGTCTCTGGAGGACTCCAGGGCTTGTAGCTCAGCGACCATCTCCTCTCGTTGCTCTGTTTCAACATGGCTGAGGGAGTCAGACCACTTGGCTGGCTCTCCTGGCTGTCTGGGGCACCTGGTCTGCTCACTGCCGCTGGGAGGACAGATAGGGCGCCCTGCTCTGTCTCAGAGAAGCCAGCATACTGGGGCCCTGGGCATTTCCCTCAAAGCTGTTCTTCCTCCTGGCCTGAAAAAGCCCAGGCTAGCCTGCCAGATCGGAACACCAGCGGCCGAGAGACTTGAGTGCTCTAATCTTGCTGATAGGGAAGAGGCAAGTGTTAGAAGGGATTTGGGGCCTCTTAGCCAGTTCTGTCCCCGCCCCCTACTTCCCCTCTCTGACGTGGGGGGTGATTATGTGGCCTTAAATCTCCAGATAATCAGAAGAAGGCAGAGATTATTGCTAATAAAAATGTCGGTCAGCCTTGCCCTGGGGAAGTGCTTAGGGTGTGTGTGTTGAGTGAGATCAAATCAACTGAATTAGCTAGGGACTATGGATGCCCCTGTCTTCACCGCTAAAGTTTGAGACTGAAGCCTCTGCCCTGGGAAACCCACCGTGAGAAGTAACGGCAGCAGAAAGCTAACCTTGTGACCAGCGGGTCTATGACCTTTATTTACGCTTACATCCTCTAGAATTTCTTTTCTTATATTGAAAAATGGATTGTTTTTTTTCATACAATATATTCTTATTATGGTTCCCCTCCCCTTCACAGCTCCTCCCCACTTCCCCTCCTGTCCGAATGAACACCCTTTCTGACTCTTCTTAGAAAACAAACAGGCATCTAAGGAATGATAACAAAAAGTAAAATAAAATAAAATAAATGAAACTCAAACAAGTCAGAATGTGACAAAACAACCAAAAAGAAAAAGAGCCAAAGAAAAAAAGCACAAGAAATGTGTAGAGACCCAGACACACACACATACACACACACACATACACACACACACACACACACACACACACACACACACACACACACACACATACACACACACACACTTTCACACACACTGGAACTCCAAAAAAACTTCAAAAGTGGAAGCCATGATATATACACAAAGGACCTGTAAGGCAGAAAAAAAATTGCCCCGTCTTAACGTTATGAGCCAAAGAACCTCCAAATATATCATTGAGTTAGTCTTGTGCTGGCCATCTACTCCTGGGCGCGGGGCCTAACCCCAAGAGTGGGTTGTTTGCCCACTCAGTCTCCCTTGGAGAAAACTAATTTTTCATTTGCAAGTGGCTATGAGCTGGAGAGAGCTTCCAGGTCAGGAGGACATGTGCCCATGTGCCCTTTCAGCTCGAGGACCCCATGCCTGCTCTTCTATACTGCAATAGTCTTTGTTAGTTCATATATGCTCCAGTCTTCTTGTGTCTAGATGACCTTGATTCTTTGGTGTCCACCGTCCCCTCTGGCTCTTACTGTCTGCTTCCTCTGCTGCAGAGTTCCCTGAGCCCTGAGGGGAGGGAATTGATGGAAAAGGAGCCCCTTTAGGGCTGAATGTTCCAAGGGCTCTCGTTTTCTGCGTACTAGCTGCATGCGGGTCTCTGCATTTGTTCCCATTCGCAATAGGAGGAGCTTCTCTGATGAGAGCTGAGCATGGCACAGATCTATGAGCACAGGAAAGTGTTGTTAGGAGTCATTCTACTGCTCCATTCATTCAGCAAAACAGTAGTAGTTGGTCTTCCTCTAGACCCCTGCTCTAAGTAGCCTCAGGTTTTTAGCCACTCAGGCGGTGTTGGATGTGGGTTCCATTTCATGGAGTGGGCCTTAGCTGGAATCACAAATTATTCCCACAAGCTTTGTGCCACTATTATACCCTTTTCCTTATTTTTGAGACTTGCATAGAAATATGCAATGGAACATGATCATATCTACTCCCCATTTTACCTCTTTTTATTCTCCCAACATAAACCCTTCCAACATTATGTTTTCTGATATATTATTATTTTTGTCTTCTGATATATTATTACTTACTATAGTTTTTACTGTCCCATGGCAACTAAACAGAAGAAAGCATTTATTTGGGCTTGTGGTTCCGGGGGGAGAGTAGATAATGGGAGGAGGAGTGAAGGTATGGGTGGGCAGAGGAGGAAGGTGAGTGATCACTTCTTCAACCCTTAGCACAAAGGAGAGACAGAGCAAATTGAAAGTTAGAGGGGGCTACATTCTCTCAAAGCCAGCACCCCCTGCACACACTTCTTCCAACAAGGCTATACCTCCTCAATCTCCCCAAACAGTGCCACCGACTGGTGACCAAATGTTCAAGTTTAAGCCTAAGCGGGGGTATTTGCCATTAAAACCATCACACCCACTAAGTACAGTTAACACTGCCTATACGTGTATGGGTAGGGACAATCCAAGAGATTGTGGGAAATGGATCAGTGGCTATATCCTCCAAAAAGAATGATTGACCTTCCATTGGCAACTACCCATTGCCAATAGCTCCTCAGTAAGAGGTGGGGCCTGGGGATTGTCCACCCAATCTGTGTCAGAGTTCTGTCTGGCTTGATCTTGTGTAGATCTTACATAGGGAACCATAGCTGCTGTGAATTCATGATTGTGATGAGTATTCTTGCCAGGTCCGGAAGACAGCCTTTCCTGGCACTCCTCTTTATCCTTCCAATTTCACGTTCTTTCTACCTTCTTTTCCAAGATGTTACCTGAGCCTTAGTGGTAGTGGGATCAATTAGCTGTCCTATTTAGAGCTGAGTACACGCTCTCTTATTCGTAGCACTTTGAACAGTTGGGTGTCTTGCCATCAACTGCTCTCCCCTCCAAAAGCTTTTCAGACCAAGGTTCAGAGCATCCCAGGTCTACTGGTTCAAGCATAAGTATTTGGAAGGCATTTTGACAGCATAATCATCGAGATAAAACAACATGAGCAAGTCCTACTCCAGGGCCAAAGACCCATCCCAGCCACGGGCTTTTGAAAATACAAGGCACGAAGTTCCTTCCTGTGGAGGAGGCCTCACATCCAACCAAACACCAAATCAACCTGGCAGGCAGGATGTCCTGGTGTAATAGCGGCATGGCCGTCATGACTGTTATGGGGTTGTGAACCTACAGGACCTTAAAGATCTCCTTTCCTTCCACTCACAGAGCCAAACTTTCCATGTGAGTCTCCTTAACAGCACTGCACTGGAATCAGGTCTGTATCAACATTTCACTTCCTCACTTTCCTTGTGTCATTTTTTTTTCCCTTAAAATTAGTTCTCAACCTTCCTAATGCTGCTACCCTTTAATATAGTTCCTCATGTTGTGGTGACCTCCAGCCATAAAATTATTTCATTGCTACTTCATAACCATAATTTTGTTACTGTTATGAATCATAATATAAATATCTGTGTTTTCCTATGGTCTTAGGTGACCCCCATGGAAGGGTTGTTCAATCCTTACAAAGGGGTCTTGACCCACAGCTTGAGAAACAATGCTTTAAAAGATAAGGTTTCATGGTAGAATCCCAGGATTGAAAGAAAGAAGTTTGTAAGGCCTTGTTCAGATGAGCCAGGCTTCTTTCTAGGGAGAGGGTTTTCATTGTCTTTCAGAACATTTCAAATGCTGGTGTGGAAACATGGGAAGGACAGAGGGATGCCATGAGAGGAGCATTTCTTGTTGGTGATACACATATGTAAGGATGTTGACAAAAAGAGCAAGGGAACAGGTAAGGTGCAGAACAGGAAGAGATTTGTTTTGAACAGGGAGTTGACTTTGCAATTCAATTTGTTCTGAAGCTAATACATAGTCATGTTAAAACTTCAAGAGCTACAAAAGTTCATTATAGCAGAAATAGTCCATTCTCCCCCCACATCTTCTAGCTGTCAGGTTACCTGCAAAGAAGCAAACACTGTTACTCTTTTCTGGCCATCCTTCCAGGAATATCTTGAACATACAATAAAACCAACCAACCAACCAACCAAACAAACAACCAAACAAACAACCAAACAACCAACCAAAGAACCAGCCGTTCTTTATCATAGGATCAGCTCACTGTTAACAAATCATAGGGCATGAGACACTGCTGTTTTTCCAGGTAGCTGTGCATCTTGAAGGTGTTTCAGTACATTAACATAATTAAGACTATTTGAAAATACCCACTAAATGGGGTGTCAACCTGGCACAACTTAGAGTTACCTGAGATGGGAGTCTCAATTGGAAGATTTCTCAGATCAGATTGACCTATGGATATGTCTGTGTGTGTGTGTGTGGGGGGGTATCTTGATTATTAATTGTTGTAGGAGGACCCAGCCCACTGTGGGTAGCACCATTCCTTGGCCCTTATTAAAAACAACAACAACAACAAAACCCCAAAAAACTATCTAAGCCTGAGCCTAGAAGCCAGGTAGCTACCAGCATCCTCCATAGTTCTTGCTGTACTTATTTGTCAGTGATGTGAGTTCCTTGATTAGAGATAATGCTGTGTGAAATAGGAAGTTGGCTTGCTTTCAGGTGTCTGCTTTGACTTCCATCAGTGATAGACTGTGACCTGGAAGTATAAGCCAAATATGTCTTTTCCTTCCCACAATCATTTTGATCAGGGTTTTTTTGTTTTTGTTTTTGTTTTTATCACAGCAACAAAACAGAAATGTGAACACAGGACATGATAATAGACAATTTGGCTGTTCTCTTGCTTTGCTCTTAGAAACAAACAACAGGAAAGCCATGAATAACTTTGTATATACAAATTACTTTTTAGATATTAAGGATAGATGAGGGACAAACTGTTAGAGGTGGAATTATTAAGATAAAAACTACACACTTGTAACTTTGATTGACTGCCAAATTTTCCTCTATCAAAGTTTTCTGAGATTATAACCCTCTATTAATGAATAAAATTTATCATCACTTTTGGAACTTCAAGTTTTACAGGTACAAATGATAATATATGTGCTAGTTTTAATTTGTTTTGATTTCATTCTGCTTTTGTAGTGGGGGACACTGAACCCAAGTCCTTAAAATATTGGACATGTGTTCCATTACTGAGAGTTTTTGACAAGTTAGGTATCTTGCCACTGCCTGCAGCCCAT